CTTTGCAATTGGGGTTTTGGGGTTTAGGGTTTAGGGGTTTAGGGGTTTGGGGGTTTGGGGTTTTGGGTTTAGGGTTTAGGGTTTAGGGGTTCAGGGGTTTAGGGGTTTTGGGTTTAGGGTTTAGGGGTTCGGGAGTCTAGGGGTTTTGGGTTTAGGGGTTTAGGGGTTCAGGGGTTTAGGGTTTAGGGTTTAGGGTTTAGGATGTCTGCAAGTAGTTGAGATGGTCATGGGCGAGATCATTATTATGATGCTCCTGTTGTTAAATGTGAGAAGTATGCTGGTTATGATGAGAACTGCATTGGCAAAGGAGCAGTGTAAAACATCACCATCATCTAGATTGAATCGATAGTGTACTGTTGACTTCTCCTTCTCACCACAACCCTACACCCCTGGCAGAATCAGGGACGAACTAAGTAGCAATATGATTGCTTGGGGCTCCCTGCGAGAACTTATTCTTCAACCATCGCTATCAACCTGCGCAACAGCAGCTACGCCAGCTGCGAAATTGCCGAGCAAGATAACTCGAGCATGCTCTCTCCTTCTTCCACCTTTGGTTTTTTGAGCATGCGCGAAGTAGTTAGTATAGGGCCTGTACTAACTAGAGTAGTACTACTTCTAATACGGAGGAAACCTACGGAATAACATTCGGATTTTTTAGGTCCCCCTATGCTAGCATTCTGGTAGTGTCAGATCGCACATGGACCCCAAAATAATAGGATCCCTCTTCCAGCGAAACCCTAACGTCTAAACCCAAGCCCTAAACCCAAAATCTGAAAAGAATCCCTGAACAGATATCCTTGGAACCCGAGCGCTTCGGCGGCTTTGGAAGCGATGGAAGCCTGGCATCGCGACATGCAGGCTCCAGGGTCCCTTTAAGAGGTTCCTTTAAGGTTCCTTTAAGGGTTCCCCCAAGGTTTTTAAAGGGTTCCTTTAAGGGTCTTGACGGTTTCTACATGGATGGAGGGTTTTATGGGGAACTCAAAAACATGAATCTAGAGCCTGGCTGTTGTCTATAATGTGTTGACTGACAGGTTAGGTAGAAGTGCTTGATACAGTTTTTCCACGTCAAGGTTATCTAGGGTTTCACGGTTGTTAATCAAAACTCTACAAACACACTACAGGTAGTGATTAAAGGGTTTGGCACAATAGAACAGAACTAAGATGAAGTATGCATTCAGACCCCACATGTTTACGCGTTCTTATTCGGGTCGACCTCCATGTGTAACCCCTCAGCCGGTCCTATAGGGCCTAGAGTTTAGGATTTCTGTTTGTTTTTTAGGGTTCGGGGCTTAGGATCTTTTAGGGTCGTCTGTAGTCATTCGGGTTGGTGTTTGGGGCCTCGGGTTTAGGGTTTTTCGGTCAAGGTTTAGCGTTTGAGGTTTAGGGGTACAGGCAGTATGGTATAAGGTTTACGGCTTAGGGCTTAGAAGCTTGGGGTTTAAGAACGCAGGAACTTGATGGAACCTTTTGTTGGAGCCCCTATATCTCAACCCCATTACTTGACCTGGTACAGTCCAGACGGAAAGGGTGAAGACTTCGTGGGGTTTGGGATTCGGCACCAGAGCCTGAGTGACAGATCGCACCAAAAGCTATCATCTTCAAAGCAGCACCTTGACAAACCCGGAAGCCTCAGCTCACCATGCTCTGACTTCACCATCTACCGAAATAGGGGGGCCTTGCAAGCCCCATGTTTTGAAACCCCCAAACCCATTTAAAAAAAACCGCAACTTTGAAAACTCAAGCCGTCGCCCTGAAAAGGATCCCAGAGCGATTCCGAGGCACCGTTTCCGACGTAGCAGCCTTCGGCGACAGGACCTGACAACTAGAAAACTAGTGTTCCAGGACCCTCCTGTACCCTCAAATAGGGGTCTACGGTCCCAAATAATGGGCTTTTAGGGTCTCATAGAGGGTAGATGGAGGGTCTAGGTTTGCTGTGGACAGAGTCGCCTTAACCCAAAACCCCGATCGTAGCGTTGAGGGATTCGGGTCCCTAAACCCCTAAACCGCTAAACCCCTGCTAAGATTGTAGGGCTTAGGGGCTAAAGGGTCCCTCAACTGCCCTAAACCCTAAATCCCTAAACCCGATGTCTGTGAGAATCTTGGGTTTTGGCTTAGAGCGTAACCAGGAACCCTAAACCCTAAACCCTAAACCCTAAACCCTAAACCCTAAACCCTAAACCAAAACCCTAAACCCTAAACCCTCGGCTCAGGCTGATGGTTTGGAGTTGACGCTTCTGGAGGCTTCGGGCTGGGGCTCAGGGTTTAGAGTTTAAGGTTCAGGGTTTAGAGTTTAGGGTT